GATTGACCACCCTTCTGATTGACTTTCGATCCTGATTGACCACCCTTATGATTGACTGGTCCTCGCTATATTGATCCTGATTGGCCATCCCTTCTGATCGACTGGTCCTCGCAATTGATCCTGATTGGCCATCCCTCCTGATTGACTGTTCCTTGCTACGGATTGGGATCCAAGAGCTTGGTTTAGAGTTTCCCGGTGTTTGATGTGCTTATATAACTGGGGCCCCATTTGGTATGACTTATGAATGTTTCATGACTACATTTCCGTCACGGTCGTTTTAAGGCAGGATTACCATACCCATTTTAGATGATCTTCAAAGCGTTCACTCATTTACAAGTTGTGTATATATAATATATATATAAACAAAACGTAATGACTTGTGAAACAGCTTTGACCTGTTGCAACCCACTTGATATTAACAGTTTTTGAACAAATGAGCACGCTAAACCTCTATTCTCGGTAGCAACGGGGACAGGAGGAGGAGTAGTATAATAATAATAAGCAGGTAGTTAGGAGGTAGTTGGACCACCGCTCATATCTGGCCGTGGTGTTTCCTTCATTGTTATTTGTTTGCTTTGAAGCTGACAATTTTTGCACCGCTGCAGCTGGGGAGTGGGGGAGGGTTTTGGGGCGTCTACGTCATTTGCGCTTGCACACGCTTTTGTTGCTCTGCTGCAGACGGTTGACATCTACGTCGTACGCACTTGGACACGCTTTTGTTGCTCCCCTGCAGCTGGTTAAGGTCCACATATGTCTACATCATTTGCACTTGCACACGCTCTTGCTCCTGTGCTGCAGGCAGTTGACATGTCTCTTGCGCTTGCACACGCCTTTGTTGCCCTGCTGCAGATGGTTGACATGTCATTGGCGCCACTCACTGTCCAATCACCAAGTTTCACGGGAAAGGAGCGAGCTTGGACAAACATGTCAAGAAAGACATTCCTTGAACACCTCTCGCATGGATAGGCCTGAAAATGATAGCAAGTTGTTTAATTGAGGCTGCTCCGTAGCATTCCTCTTCTGGATGCCATCAGAATACAGCGATATCCATACCTATTGTAGAGCCTACGGTGTTTGCCAAGGCATGTCCGTAGGATCCTGACCTGCCTTTTGCCTCTTGGTTCAAATCAGCTGGTTCCAATATTCCAGACCGGATGCTGTAGGAATGATCTGTGCACCCTGCGTAACTTGAGGCTCAACGTAGGTCAGAATCGTTTTCGCCACCAGAAACCAATCGGGCTTTTTGGCGTGCGCACTTCGTCCGGCCAGAATGCAATTGTGCACGCAGGGCGCCCACCTCTCGGCGCGGGGGCATAACAAGGTCGGAGCTGGTTTCCTGTTGAACATGACTGGCAGTTGCCAGGAACCATATATAGTCAAGATTATCAAACCCAGAAATCAACATAGCTACAGGTGGTTCAAGACGACCGAGAACCTTAGATCTAGACCCAGCAGCCGTTTAGCGCGGAACGAAGCTGCCAAAGGCATGAATTAAGGGTCGAACAGGCTGCCTGTTGAAGTGGCCGGAACTTTGCGTAAATTTGCCTCGGCCGACGCAAGCCCATGTTTTGCGCTGTGCTTTGCTGGGCTGTTCTACAGACAGCCGTAAGTTTTAGTGTCCCAAGCATATATGCCATACTTTTGGCGGTGAGTTTGTAAATTGTCCTTCGGTATCAGAGCTTTGAATTTTGCAGATCGCACAAAACTTGCGAAAACGGAATTAGTTTTGATTTTGCTAAAGGAGTATTTGGTGACAGATCTTGTCGGGCAGAAGCAGTGGCTGCAAATCTGCAGAAAGCCTTGCCTGTTTGCCAATGTGTTCACCAAAGGGGGCTTCGCGGACACATAATTGCTGTTTTCAAGGCAGTGCACGTGTCATGTCGTACCAGCCTGTGTTGCAAGCGTGATTCATTGTTTTGCGCTGCGCGCAGCTTTGACAGAGCCTTTCAGAAACCTCTGCTATAGCAGGCGCACGGGCGAGGCCAAGGACTGTTTGCTCACTGAATCCGCTATGTGATTTCCCTCGCACTCCGTGCCACGTTGCTCCCTCTACCCGTGGGCGCCTTAAACACGTGGGAGGACCCTGTTCGGTCTACCTCGTGTTCAACGGCAACTGTTTGTTCTTTTTCCCTGCACGCAGGTGAGCCAGGATTCCTCATGCAGTTGCCCCTTGATTTTGGCCCACCTGCCTTCGTTGCTACATGTAGCGGCTTCAAAGTGGATGCGCAAGGCCAATTTGTTGATATTTGTCCATATGTTTTCGTTCAAGTGGATCCGTGCGCACCACCGCCTACAAGGCCTACAACGCTACAGTCAGTAATCTGCGTCGTTTGTTCTGAGGTCGCTACACCTTTGATTTGTCCAAATAAAAGCCTATGGCTATCAAATGGTTTATCAGTATGGACATGTTTTGAAGTTTGTTGTGGAGGCCCCAAGATAGACAATAGGCACAATTTCAACCACAAATTTAAAGGGCGGCCACATGTTGCGTTGCCCGGCTTTATCTATCTTAGAACAAGCCGGCAAGAACACCTCCTGTTCCACATGCCCGAAGAGAGTGGCCACCACCCAGCTTTGATCTGGCCCAAGGATCGACCTCTCGGGCGATCATGTGTCTCGGCCGCAGGGAGTCGCTTCGCCGCGTGGACCGGGGGGGAATGTCATGGGATACGCCGAAAGAACGCACATGGAATACATGTTGAAGGTGTGTTTTAGCGCGTAGAGCAACAAACCTGAGGAAAACAGCGGGGTTTGTTTTTGGTCTTTTTGTTTCTGTGTGAGGATTGCACGGCACCTTGCTGTTTGGTTTGGTTTGTCAATATCAGGATGATGAGAGGAATTAGATCCCACAATTTCAATGGTGTAGGATGGACTCTTGGCTTCGCCCGCCATAGGCCCTGGCCGAGTTACGCTACTTGGCCGCCTGGGCACAGCCTGGCCTCGTGCCTTTACGCCACGTGGTGTGTGGTCAAGATGCCTTGCGCCTGGGCATTTGGCAGTTGCAGGGGTGGACCAAGGTGACGAGGAAAGTGGTCCCAGAATGTCCACGGACGAGGGTGTTCTTAGAACAGTTCACAGGGGCCCATGCAAATTGGTCCCAAATACATTAAAACGATGTCATGATGCATGCGCCATTGTATTCATGACACAACTTGGAGATCATCCATGTTCATGGCTCTATCCGTCCGATATTGAGGGGAGGTTCCTTTTCAGCCACAAAAGCTGTACGGAAATCCTTGAGAGGTCACCTGGGTTTTGACCACGTCCACCTGCAAGACCTTTTCCCACACACTCCATGACACTGGTTTTGTCATTATATATATATATATATGCCTACAACTACATTGACCGGGAAACCCCCAACAGACCATGGCCGTTTTTGGGTGTCTGAGGACGCCACTCGGGAGAGACAATTGGATACCTAACGTAAAGGCCCCACAGTGCGAAATCTAAGGACACCACACCGAAGGTCTAGCTTGGGGTTTGATGCTTCATCCTTTGGCTCCGCACTTCGCCCCCGGGCCGAACCTTGAGGGCCTCGCCTTTAGTCCTCAAGCGCCTCAGCAAGCAGCTTGGCCCTGGCACCAGCGGCCAGCTACCCGAAGCTTGGAGAACAGGCCTTTCATGCCGGTCTCGTTTCAAGTTTTCTTGTGAACCCCAAGCCAAAACTCTCGCATAACTCGGAGAAAAAAGGTCTCAAATCTATGTGACCACCGTAGATCTTTGTGACAGTGGCGTTGTCGCAGCAAGCTTATTAGACCCTTTGTCCACACTGAAATCATATTGGGCTATGTTGAAATTGTCCTTTGACAGGTCATGCAGAGAAGGAATGAAGGAATGTGCACCGCCACCACGAAGTTCTGCGGGGTCGGTTTTGAAGACAGATCAATGTCGTTTTGCACTGCAAGTCCGAAGACTATTCTTTGGGACCACTGAAATAAACAAAAATAGTATTCCGTTCACACTCACTCGCTGTGCCTGTCTGACGGTTCGCCCCTCTAAGCCCCAAACCACATCTGTGGGGTGCTAGAATAGTATTCCCTTCACCTAAAGACCGAAGAATGCTTTTGTTTCTTTGCGGTGTTTTGCGCTTCACTGTGACTGCACAGAGGTTCTGGTATCAAGGAAGCGGTGCTTGTGACACGTGTTTTCTGCATTAGAACGTCAATGATCATGAATGTTGTTGTTCTATATTATTGTTATTATTATGTATTACACATCGAGATGAACCTCGTAGTTGTTACAACAATAGCGCTGGGCTGCGGGTTGCGGTGAACTATTTGTTTGAATACCTGTTGATTGAAGAACTCGGAAGAACTAAGAAAACACGTCGATCGAGTCATTGTATGTTGTTTGCAATCTTGAGCGAGTCATTCCAGATTTCTTCCAATTGATCCTTGCTTGACCCACAAGGATTGTACGCTGCGAGATATCCAAGATGGGCAAAGCAGGAGGTGGGACAGATTCTGGGATGGATGGGATCGCGCGCAGAGAAAATTATTTGAAGATGTTCGAAGTGCTGTTCGAAATGCTGCAATGCCCTAATTAATGTTTGAAGGCAGCGTGTGTTTTTGGTTCCGTCCACTGCTTTTTCTAAAAGTGTCAAAAGTAGTATGTTCCAAGCCATGTTTGGGCACCATGTGATGGGCGCCCGAGGCCATTCCACCAGCTGTTGCAGAAACTGACAATGGATAATGGATGGTGAAGATACGAGATGACCTTTACTAGAAAGTAAAATACAAAAAGTCTTATGTTTCGTCCTGGTGCATGCGTTCCCATATTTTTAGGAGGCTCCTGGCCGGGTGGCTTGTGCTTGCCATGCATGCAGGCGTACACCACGTCAGGCTGCACAGCAGCTGATCAACGTGAGCCGCGTATTGGCCAGTGACCTAGGTTGCCATCGGTCGACCCAGTTAGTTGTGAAGGTTTGACCGATTTCTGTTCTGGGATTGGTCTAGAAGTCGGGTTTGGGGTTTAGGACGAGAAAGGTCAATTAATGTTGTTGATCATGTTTCTCTCTGAAAACTGAGGGTGTAAGAGCGAGAGAGGCTAAACCGCCCCCGAAGGTATCATATAGGAGTTCAAGAGGGGTGTATGATATATCGCAGTTTTGGTGGAATTTGATGCAGGGTGGCGGGTGACAAGTATGTGCCTTCGTGTGGCGTTTGTTTTCATGTTTTGTTCTCTTGGCTAAAGAGGAGTCATTTGATTCGTTGGATGTTCATTGGAGCACTCCTTCGCTCCTACATGCTCCTACGAATAACTTGCTAACTTTAACTGACTGAAGTTGGGAGATGAGCAGATGAGAGCAAATTGGCAAACACCAGTAGATTAATGTAAATCTAGCACCAGCCAAAACGGACGGATGGAGGATATGCTTGTGTCCCTCTACTTGGAACGTTAGCGCTCGAGGTTCCAGCTGTGAAATGCAATGAGCCTTGAGTGCTCATTTCTTGAACTGGTCACAATCAATGCGAAGGAACTAACATGCATAGTTTTTTTGTTTTGCCCGCGGCGTGTTACATCTTCCTGTCAACGCGCAACAAACAACAATTGCCTTGGGTTACTTAGGGGCTTGGGAGAAGCCCAAACATAGTGTGTTTAGCAGTATACGCAAGTATGGGTGGTTCGGTTTCGGACGAGGATTCCCAGCAAAGTATGGCAGAATGCTGATGCAAATCAAACCATGTAACAAATTATCAACAGATCACTACCCCCTTGCGGTGCCTGACGCCCCCAGGGGGTTAAATTTGTAACTTACAATATTGTTGATTTTGCGATGATAGCATTATATAGCCCTATAGGGGTTTGAAAATTATTAGATCTAAGGTTGAGGTAGCCTATATATGAGGATCTATCTTATTTTTTAAACCCCCCCTCAAAGAGGTCTTGGCCTACTTCTTGAGACTTTGAAAGCAGGGGGCGAGGGGGGCTCAAAATTGTTAGAATGGGCCTGCAGGTACCCCACAGAGCAAGTTACAATTTCACCCCCTGTGTCGGCTGCTTTCGAATTGCTTTGCTTTCGTGACTTCGAATCAGGTCAGATGGGAAATTGTAAGTTACAATTGTGAGGATCAGGGGGCATGCATCCACCTGACCCTCAAAAATGTAACTTACAATGTTTGGTTGCGTACAGGCTCAACAAACACACTTTAGGATCAAACATGTAACTTACAATTTTGACCCCTGTCTTGTCAGATGGAGGTATTTTAGACCTGTATGTTCAAAAATCACCGTTGTCAAAAATTGTAAGTTACTTTTTTAACCCCCCGAGGGGTAAGGTAGTAATTAGTGATATTAAATTAACGGTATACTTATACGTATTCTGTGAATGTTGGTTTGTTGTATCCTTGTATTTCAGGACAACTCGGCAGCTGCATTGAAACGCCACACCGTTCCAAGGCATGCATGCGGCGACGCGGCAGAAGAGGGGAGTCAGCATGGCCAGCTGGTCAGTTGATCAAAGAGAGCTCCAATTATTGGAACCCGGGACATCCACAGGCAAATTTGATTGGCCCTGCGTTGATTGGTTGGTGTTTGCAACCAATAGTTCCCTCGAGACCTAAAGTGACCATCGCGGGATTTGACAGGTTCCGTGTCCCATCAAGACGAGTATATGCAGGAGTTGGTTCACAACATGTAAAAGCATCAGCACCCTCCAAATAAAGTTTGATGGAGCGTGTAAACCAGTTGGCCAGAAAGATGAGAATGTATTTGCGAGTATGTTTTTGACATGGGGATATTGCACCAACATATTTGTTGGGCCATAAGAGCTGCAATGCGTCCCTCCACTCCAAGCGATATAAACGGAGCTTCACCACCCCCACGCTCCATGTTTTAAGGAACAAACCCCATACCTTTTGCGGGCAGCTTGTTATCAAGTCTGACTAAACCATATGCCAGTCAGTAGAGTCCACAGTGTCAATCTTGCAAGACTTGACCCAGGCCCGGGGCCAAACAGCCCCAAAAGCCTTGAGGACGGTTACACCCACAACGACTTGCACAGCGGCAACATCTTGCAGAACGGGTCCTATTCCTCCTCACGCTTCAGCGTGATCGACTTAGGCTCCACCTGTAAGGCCTGATTGTAGAGCGGTCGTGTAGAACGTTTTTTCGAAGGTTCGAAAGCCCTGACTCCAAAGTTTGATCTTTTGGTCGGTGCTTGTTTTCCTCAAGGAAACAGCGGTAGTTACTAGGTTGACCCAGGATGATCCAGGTAGTTCGGATGGTCAAGAGTCTTTCGATAGATTCTGGAGAAGTGTCCGGTTAGTAGGACAGTCCTCCGGGGAACTTGTTGTGCGAGAGATGTGGAGGCCAGTACCTGTGGTTGGGTGGCCAACAGGTCGGAAAACAGAGTGAAAGGCCACGTGAACGACAGTTGTTCATCCGAATCAGGCTCAACCTGCTTGTTCAATGGCTGCACTGACCACTCAGCGCCAGTACATGCCAGTACTATTTATTAAAGCAGTTCTAGATGGGAGAGAGGCACAGGGTGGTGGATGGGAACTTTGGGCAGAACCCAAACCATGTGAACTACTACTGCTTGATGGATGAAATCCTGTACCAATGTCAGTTGACCCTGAAATTCTGGAGAGTGGGGATATCTCTTCACAGCACATGTTGGTGCAGGGGACATGTTCAGCAGCTTTGGGGTTCGACATAGAACCTGTTGTTTTGCAGATCGAGATCTTAAAGTCTCGCGTCAGCAGTATGTGTTTTTGACTTTCAAGCTATCCGTGGTCCGAGACCACCAGCTAAGACTCAGCAGTATCTCTTTGTGATTTGTACATATACATTGTATATATGTACAACAAATGACAAAGAGATGTTTGTTGCACAAAAAGCATCGCTCATGTGAAAAACGTCACAGGCTGATTACTGGAAGGACGTGCTCGGCGGCGCCTATGACGAGGACGGTGCGAGTGGCCGCGGAGAGCGGCGGCGGCCTCTCCGGTGGGCGGGGAGCACTAGGAACTCGTCCTTTGGGACGGAAGGCGGCGCATCCCGTCCTAGTAGCTTCTTGTTACTACTAGTAAGGCACTTGTTCCTAGTAGCTTCTTGTTCCGATCGTAGTAAGGCCAGGAGCCCCGAACGTAGCGTCCGATCGCTCCGTTCGCTACGCGATGCCAGGAGCCCCGTTCGTAGATTCTTGGCCTGGCGCATCAGATTCTCCAGATGTTCATATGATTGTTTTCCAAGTGGGGACAGTCGGGGACAGCTTCTAGTGGCAGGAACATGACAGAACTGTCATAACTCTATTCGTCATCATAGTGTTAACATGTTTATGCCTACGGGTGTAAAGCCGAACGTGTGACTACTGCGATTTTTGCAGTTGATGCTACGTGAAAGGTGGGGGGGTTGGGTTGGGGTGGGATGGGGCATATTGACGTTCGTTTGCACTTGCTTTCTGAAGTTGATGCTATGTGAAAGTTGGGGGGGTTGGGGTGGGGTGGGATGGGGCATATTGACGTTCGTTTGCACTTGCTTCCTGAAGTTGATGCTACCTGAAAGGTCGGGTGGGCTGATGTGGACAACTATTTATACTAAGGTTATCTTCGGCTTCATAGCATTGTCATCGGTTTCATAACATTGTCATCGTTTCAATAGCATTGTCATCGGCTTCATAACATTGTCATCGTTTTCATAACATTGTCATCGCTTTGCCAACATTGTCATCGGTTTCATAACATTGTCATCGATTAGTCGTGTGATTAAAATGGGGTGGGGGGCTGGGGGGGTTGTGATGGAATGAGGATGTGGATGTCATGCTGAGAACATTGTCATCGGCTTTACGACAAGTAATCTTCCGTTTCATAGCATTGTCATCCGTTTCACAACATTATATATCGTCGGTTGCATAACATTGTCATCCTTTTCATAACACTGTCATCGATTTCATCGATTTTCGTTTCTCTGTCGAACACACGTACAATTGCATATCACACGGGGCGAGCGTAATACATGTTGGAAGCTTACAAATTTATTTGTTTCCGTGTCTTTGCCGCATTCCGCAGCGGAGCAAGTGCCCGGGACAAGAACGGCGACGGATTTTGCGCTGGCGCTTGGGTTTCGGCAGATTCGGCTTTAAAAATGAAAGGATCCGGGACCCCAACAAAACATCATCGAACAAGCAAAAGTACTGAGCGGGCTTGCACTTCTGAATCAACATTTGCACAACTACACATGCGATTCCACACCCGTCGGGATGTTTATGTCGATAAGGTCCATGTTCTTTATTGGTACAGTACGGTTCATTGGTTCGGTTCATTGGTTCGGTTTGCCCCACTATACAACGCCAGTCGCAATCGCAATCTTTAAGTGTTGAATGGTGCAAATCAACGACACAGAGGGTAAGCTATCAGCGTTGGCTTCTACGTTTTGGAGCTGCGCATGTTTCTACGACTTGATCCACAGCCAAACTGACAAGTTTCACATAACTCAGGCCAATAGAATTGACAAGTGTCGATCCAAAAAGAACCGCCCAGGGACCGCCTGACCGACGCATCTGCAGTGCAGCATCGCCCGATAGGTCCAGTTTGGATAGACAGGTCGTCCAGGTAGACAGGTCCAGGTTCGGTGCATTCCGCGGTCATAATTACGCGGACGAGGTCCGGTGACGAGGATCGAAGACCGAAAGGACTGGTGCATTACGCGCGACTGGCGCACCTTTGCATCACACCTGGTGAGCCTTGTGGATGGAGAGCCAAGAGGGCTATGGGCCGCTTAGCATCGGCACGGAGGTTCCTTTTTTCTGGGAGGATTTGGAGGTATTTTGGTATGTTGAACAAGTTGAACCTCCTTATAAAATTACCTGGGAGCATGAATATCCTAATGACTCGGATCTGTCTCCGGTGCATTGAAGCCACGGACCATTATTGCGCATGATCCTTCATCAGTAACCAGCGCCAGTGGCAAGGAGATGTTCGCAGCACAGCCAAAGCCAAGACTCTTTGGGCAATGGTTGTTCCTCAATTGAACCTGATTTCTTTTATATATTATACAACCATTATGACATCATTGTGAGGCGGTGATGCAGTAGGACCATTGGTGCTATGGCAAGCGCTCCATCTCGCCAGTTCCTTCTTTTTGGGGGGTGATTCTTGAGCATTCTTGACCCACACGCAAAAGGAAATACTTGTCAGTTCATGGCCTTCCGCTTGGATCCATGACCCACATGGCGACATTCTTGACCAACAATACCCTGTGGTGTTTGGGCGTGACCGTGACCGTGTGGCCGGCCCAAGGACTTGGTCGGTACGCAGGCGGGGACCACACACGCCACACAGACGAGACCCGCAAAGGGAGATGAGTATTCTCAGCAAATGGACAGGTGGTGGAAGAGCAGCTCTTCGGAAGAGCAAGCCATGTGGATCTTTTTCAGGTTTCCACTGTTTATCTGCAGGGGAGTCTTCAAGACACGTGTTGTATGTGCAGTACGTGTCTCCAGTCTCCAGCTGAACTCTCGCAGTTATGGGGGTCATGGCACCTCATCCACCAAACCATGGTAGGTTGACATCCCGAACCTAGAGGGAATCTGTTCATTTTGGTTCACCAGGGTTCCCCTGATTTGACCCACAGCCATGTTTAAACTTAAACCTACTATAGTAGCTCTAGCACATGGCATGATTCAACTCGCTGGGACGGTCAAGAACTGTTTGTCTGGCTGTGAGGGTGTCCCCCATGAAACTGAGACTGTCGCGGTTCAGACTCGAGACAACTCAAACCGGCAGGTCTTGTACTGCATTGTTTGAGAAAAACGGGCTCAAGTTCCCTACTTCCATCTACTAGAAAGACGAAAGGGCGAGTCTTTCTATGCCATCCTATGCCCCCAAGTTTCTTCAGCGACACACACAAAACGCAAAAAGCACTTCTGCTCTGTCGCCTCTTGAGTTCGGCCAGGATGTTTTGCCCTTTCGCCGCACTGCTTGGGCCGTGCCGCCGCACTGGTCCCCTGCGGCCCGCCCGCGCAGCACGGTGGGGCCACGCGCAAGGCGGCAGTGGTGCTGGGATTCCATGCCGCTTGGCATAGAAGGGAGATGAAGGGAGAGTTTGCATCGTGGGTGCCGGGCTGATTTGGCAAGGACATGCTGTGGCTATCTCTGGCTCAAGAAATTTGGATGACTGTCTAGTGCAAGGCGATGGTTGATTTGATCCCCCTTATGAGCAGAATGGACTCAGATTCAAATCTCTACTCATGTTGAGAGTATGATAGCTTATCAACATGTAACAAAAATGCACGTGTTTCCCGGAAAATGGATAGATATGATTACTGGTTAAACGCCTGGAAGCCCCAGTGGACATGTGCAGCCTTCTTCGCAGTCATAGGATGTTACTGTTTGTTTAAATTAACATGTTTGATCGACTTGCGTTTGATGGCTAAGCCTAGGCTAAGCCTAGACTGGTGTTCACGCTCCAAGGAGTGGACGAATTGTCAGCCAGTACAATGGCATGGTCTTGCAAGCAGACAGGAAGCGCTCCTCTGTGGCTCGGACGTTGGGCTTCACAAGCCGTGGGCCAAACACACACACAAAAAGAACACTGCCTACCTGGTGGTGCACACGGTGTACTTGGACAGGACATGATTGTTGCGTCGGGACCCACAAGTTGGGTCATGTCGGGTTGGACCAACGAGTTGTCAGATACCTGGTGAAGCAGTGATACTCGAGTGTTTGATTGAATGGGTTCATCACGTTCTTCATGCTCCGTGCCTGAGGTAATTCTTGCAAAAGATGATCACACCGGAAAGTCATGTCAAACATGGAAGGCAGGAGAGACAAACCCTGCGCGGTGCCAGCAAGTGGGCCAGCAGGGTCGGGACGAACTACCCATGTGCCCCAGGTGTTTTGGTCGTTTTGGGGGGACAAAAAGCACATGCTTGCCAGCCTGTTTTGGGGTTGCTCCCGAGAAACCCGTCAGGAAGCTGGCTCCTCTGCCATCGGGGGGAGTAGTCAATGTGGCCGAGCTTGCGATATCAAGCGATGCAGCCCTCAGTTGTGGTTTGCCCACTCAAGAAAAAGGACGGCCTTTGACAAACTTGAGCATGCGTAGGCCTTTTCAGTGTCCTAAGACCTTAAGTATCCATCACACAGAGATTCAGGCTCTACAATTACAAGGGACGCATGCATAACCAGCACCCTGTAAAGAGGTCACCAATGCACACCTCTCCCAGAAACCGGCAGAAACCGGGGGGTATGGCGCTGCTCCTTTTTCAGATTGTGCATGTGTGTGCGCGTCAATGTGTTTGGCGTCAGGTGATGGGAAAGGTGATTCAGAACCTGGAGACGGGGAAATGTCTCGAGGTCGACGCTAGTGTCTTGGCCCACTCCGTGAAAGGCGCGCCATCCGTGAAAGACCGTCGAGTGCGGGACTGTTTAAACAAGTGACTTCCAATGACTTCCACAGCCACAGAGGTTGGACGAGGCAGTCTTCGATTTCTGGCCGTGAATCGCCGTGGTCCAGGAGTCGGTGTCGCTGTGGTATGGCCGTGGGCCGCTAGCCGTGGTCGCCTTCGCCGTGATCGTGGGACATCGCTTGAAGTCACATGACGGTGTCAGGATGCCATGAAGGCCACGAGAGGCTGCTTCCCTGCCGATCAAATAGAGGAAACATGGTAGGCAAGCCCGAACCCGCGCTACTCATGAGCCACTCTATAAACCTCCCTACTCATGTTTAGTGGTGTGCTTGTCATATGAATGTTTGCAGATGCCACAGGTTTTGAGAGCTGCTCAAATGTTTCGGAAAGCCCTGGTCGCTCGGTGCATCTCTAGCCATTTGAGCATTATTCCTGTAGTGACATGGACGATGTTTTTGGAGAAGCCAACTAAACAACTCATCAACTTCACCTACAGGAGGGATCCTGGTAATCTGCAAACCATGGATGAATGTTAGTCCTGCGAACATTGGCTAACCATTTTCTGCGCCCACACACCACCAGACCACACGTGTTTCGCGATACACGTGACGGACGGGACTCAGGCGGCAAAGTCACTGCACAGAAGATGCATGGCCGACGCTCGGTGACGCACCGGATGCTTACATCGGTCGGTCGGGGTGGTCTGGTAGACACCCCCCAAAAGATGGAACGTGGTGTTTATTGCTTTGTTGGTACAGAATGGAAGCAGAATAGCATATGTTTGATAAAACTCTTATCAGGGCTAACTCGCTTTTTTTGCGCTCAGATTGCAGGAAACCCACCTCGGAGGGCCCGTTTAGGGACTTTCTCAATGGTCCTACTACTCACGATGTTCGACCACTACACCAGGTCAGCCATATTTTTTGAAGGTCGAACGGAAGACTATAGGGACTACGGAATACTTAGGGACCTATTATAGGACCGGATCAACGCTGGCCGGAGGCCGCAGTCAACAGTGGCGCTGGGAGTCTGGAGAACTCTTGCATGCTTCCGGACAGGCCTTGGATGTGCCTTTGGATGTTTTTAGAGAACACCTCGCTTTGGCCGCCCGTTTGGGCCTGGCGCACTCGGATGGATCTGTTGATCGATCCCTGCACTTGTTATGGAGAGGGTGCTGCCAGGGATTTGGACCGAAGGACATGGCTGTGAGGAACTCAAATGGTAGGTTGATGTAGGTTGACTTCCCTCAGAGGAAGACCGGTGCCATGACCGACCGGTGCCCGCCCCGGGTTTTCCGCCATATGACCGGGGTGGGAAACGTGACCGGCTGGGTGGACTGGTCGACCATGGCCCCCAAAACTCGTTTGTCCCGAGGGGGGTCCGATTGGAGAGACGCTGCCCCAACGCACCGATTTGAGAGACGATTGAACGGATGCTTTTCTTAGGTCCGGTGAACGGATGGATGTTTTTTCTTCCAGGAAGGGATGGACCAGATTCCGTGAAGAAAGCATCTGAGATAGCGTGTTTTTGAAAACACGACCAGAATTCTAGACTCGAAAGAAATACCTCGACCCCCAAAAAGGATGGAATATAGCCTGTAGGGAAGACGGTATATATTTCATTATATTTAATCATTTTTCCGAAGACCAAACTGGGGGTTTTCCACTTCCATGTTAGTTTCAAAGAGTGTATACGGTTTTACATAGTTTTACTATCCACGTTTGGGTTGGGTTGAGTCATCGTTTGAGTCATGGTTTACTGCAGGTCTTTGGACGGATCCGCCTTCCGCAAGATGTGCATGCCATGAGCCGCCGCTTCGGCCGGCGCTGGGCCGAGCTCCTGGAAACCTTCTTCAGGCTTGGATTGCATTTTGTGTGCTTGGAAGATGGGCCAGTGCTGAAGCAGAGGGCCAGCCAGGGTGCCATATCCAATCAAGTTAATGGTAAGACCAGCACTCACCATCGGATCCTCAATCTACTCTGGAGGGACACCCAATTTGAGGCTGGAGTCCAGGTTGTTTCCGTTCTCTTCGAACGTACTTTGCGTTCGAAGTCGACATTTTTCGATGTCATTTTATAGAGCTCCGGTGGTGAACCCCCTTGAAATGCTCTATGTGGTGCTGACCCTGCACTCCCTAGATCTCCCTAGAAATCATCGCGTTTGTGAAAGGATGACCATGAAATTCAAACAGATCCAACCAGGTGTTCACCTCCACTTCCATTGAGGACCAAGCAGGAATGTGAACCAATTCCATCCATCGACCTGGACCGTCGCGATGCCGCGTGCGATCCGACGCGGTGAGGCCTCGGATTGCCACTTGGCTAGCAAGCAGTTCTGACAGGGTAGAGTGGTAGGGCTTGGAGTAGATATTGATTATAGAACAGATGCACAGAAAACCGTGTTGTTTTTTTGCGATGACCTGTCTGACCTGTGTTTCGTTTTTGAAGGGACAGGAAGGGACCCTTTGCCCATCGGTTACAGCCCTATATACGAGTGGTGAGCACTGTCCTTCGCCAATTTGGGGCTAAAACTGCGTGGTGGAATTGCACAGGTCATGCATGAGGACGCATGAGGACTTGTCCTAGAACTCAGGACGCAGCATACGTAGGTTCTGAAGATGAGACCCTGTTTAGTCACTAAAGGCCACTCAAGTGAGTGTGTCAGTCTGACAGTAAACCGAGGTCATTTCCTGGAGGGATGGACATGTTACTTCCATCAGTGTCCTGTTGCAGAACCTTGCAAGTGGCCCTAAAGGCAAAGCTAGACACCCCAAGTGGCACATGAAAAGTGAAGATCCCAATGCGGCCTAATCCTGGCTTGTACTGGTTCTTTTCGCTCGTCCCCTGACACGGTCAAAGATGTTATTCGTGTGTGTGTTTGTGTGTGTGTGTGTTTCAAATATGCATGTGTTTTGTTCTATGTTGATCCTTGGATCTTTCTATTTGATCCTTGGACTGCGTCTCTTCTTCAGCACCCTGCCGTCTCGCCTGTCGGCGCAGGATCCCGTGGAGATCTGCCGGAAGCTAGAGGCCTTGGCGACGCACGGAGACAAGGCGGGTGGCTCCGGCCAAGCACAGCGTGCACACGAAAGTGAAGCTTTGGCCCACAGAAGGTGGGGAGGTTTGCTGCTGTTAATGTGAGGTTTTCTCATAAAATCGCACTGTGGTTCTTGGAGATAATAGGAAGAACGGCACCCTTTTTTCTGAATATGGCCCTGGGAATGAAGAACAGATCAATCATCATCAAACATAAATGTCCATCTCGGAATCGAGTTCCATGTCCGTGGTGGCGTTGCCTTGTTTGATAACTGTTTGAACTACAACCACCATGAAACACATTCGGCGGTAGATAGAGCCCACTTGTGTTGTCAGTTTAGGGCCCCAAGGTTTTTTGTTGTCGTTGAAGCAAGGATTTCTACACTGGGTCTCCATATATGAGGTGTGTATTGGAATAGGGGTCTCCTGCCCAGTTCTCTTCCCCAGTTCAGAAGCTATTCATAGTCGACCACAACATACCACAACCCATTGAAAGGGTGGTGTCTCCCTATTGAACTACACCATATCGGTGGGTGAGAGGAGTTCTTCCAAGCCCTCCGAGCCCATCTCTCCGAGCCCTTTGGCGTGCAGGCGCCTGCCCCGCGGCAGCTCGGAACGCGCCGGGCGCCTGCCCGTCTGGCACGTGGGAAGGCAGCGAAGACGTGGCTGGGCTTGAACATGGGGTCTGTCGTCATCGCGCCGATTTCAGGGGCGATGAATCAACGCCTTCAAATCATCCTGTTTGCCCCTGATGCCATCCCTGTTGCCCCTCATCGCCCCTCACGATCAAGCGACATGAAGAGCTGAAAACATTGCTAAACAAATCAAGCATGGAGATGCGCACCAGTGTGTTTGTTCCTCGTTGATCCTCTTTGATCCTGTTTGCTATACTAAAGCCAGCTTGTTCTGCAAACATAAAAATGCAGTAACGCCTTTGACCCTTTGATATGCTTTGATCTACCTTTGGTGCAATGTTTTGCTCCAAAAAACACAAAAGTCGCCTTGTACTAAATTGGTTTACTTGCCAATTGTTGGTAGCCTTTGTTCATTCAATGTCCCAATTCCGCGTCCCACTGTTTGATTAATGTCCATTCTTCCCACTATATGATGCTGGGTCAGCTCAGTAGCAACGAGAATCCTGAGGAGTCGTCCGGACCCGACGGCTTGATGAATCAGCGTAAAGACGTGTCGACTCGGGGCTCGACTCGCGGGGCCAAAGACATGTCGAGCTCATGAGAGTTCACAGAACGGTAGCCGGTAGGATGTTCTCCGGGATACGCAAAAGTGCAGCCGATGCGTTGCCCCCCCCGCATTTGCTAGATGATGCTAGTCCGTCGTGCCATGTGCGATAACACCAATGAGGAATTCGAGAACGCTGAGCTTGCCACCTTGTTGATTTTGTGGGTGTTTTGGTTTCTCCGATGCTCTCACCTTCCGCACCGAGGATGCCAGTTCCCCCAAGAAATTAGAATGATTGTTGCAGTGGTACTGTGCAGGGACCAGCCACGAACATATAATAAATGATTGATTGATACTTTGATACTGACCAGATTGCTCCATCGGATGGGCCGCCCACTCCGAGGAAGCTCGCTTCCTCCACGAGCAGGAGAGAAAAAGGGGGGGAGATGCGGAGAGGGGAGGGGGGAGTTCCCAAGAGCGCACTTCAAGGGGTCCAAGAATCAGGCCTTTGTGGGTACTGACCCTTAGAGACTACTTAGAGGTAGACAATGGTAGAGATCCTTCTTCAGATTCTATTGCCACCCTGTCCCCTCCTTGGAGTGGGGGACTGCGCCTGTAAATGTGAACCGTGTGACGAGCTGCGACTGGTCCCTGCCGGGTTTACCAAAAGGTGTGACTGGTTTCGTGGATAGACCAGACCTGGTGGATGGAGGCTACCCGAGCCACCCGGTTGATATACAAATTTCGACACTCGTTTGCAGCATTGCAGCTGTGTTTTGTGTTTTACATAGGGCAACCCACCGGAAGACCCGCGAAGATGCTGATTATATAGGAGAACACATGTTGTAGAGTTGAACTCACGTCTCATCATGATTTTGCACAGCTACTGGCGCCTATACCGCCCAGCGTGAACACCTTAATTTTTGGACTTGCGGGCCCAGGAAACGCAAAGCATGCAGCGCAGAAACTGGTCGCTCCAAGGGGAAGAAGATGTTGAGGAGATAGTTTGTTGAATCGGCCCGGATGTTGACGGCCGGAAAAGGGGGGGAGGCTTAGTCTAGCCAGTCATATGGCAGACGGGTCTCCGAAGACCAAAGATGGTGGTTTCTCAGGGGGAGCGCTGGGAAGGGAAGAAAGGACAGTACCATCCCGCAAGAACTCTAGGTTCCAGGAAAGCAACATCAAAAGAAATGTGGAAGAGCGTTCCTAGTAGGAGAGGTGGTGCAGAATGGTTGCTAGGAGTTTAGATAGCATCAAGGTTGCAGCAAGAATGCCCTGCTGGCCAGTGCTACCAAGAGAATCCTGCTGTCTACCTAGTTTGGATTGCCACTGCCCCTTCTAGTGAGTGGCGGTTACTGCCGAGTTGGCTCCCGCTCACAGCAGTGCCTTCGAGTGATTTTTGCCAAGTGCAGAGTTAGAAGAAAGCTGCAGATCCAATGGCATGCTTCATGGAAATCAATGTGCAAAATGGTGTTTGGGAACTGGTGTTTTTGATAACGACTGATGAACCTTTGGACATTCTCAGTTTCTACAGTTGTGTGATGAGTCAGACGGTTTCAGATCCTCTGACTGTCCAAGATTTGCTGAAAACAAGGTCGGCATACTTGATGCTTCCAGATCCGTCTAGGTACATGCTGGAAATTTGAACCAAGTCGAATGGCCTATGTGGCCTATGTGTCAATGTGTCCATGAAGCCTGTCAAGACCTGCTTGGCTGGCTCAGACAGATTTAAACTGATATAAAGTGATCGATGTTTCTTGTGTGAGGGACTTGTTTTCGAAACCAAAAGGGTGCTGGTGCATGCTGGTGCAGGGTTTTTCTATTTGTACTAAATATTGGCAAGAGCTTTTGCAAGGGTATACTGAACAGTTCCCTCATAGATTGGCATAACTTTGAACACATTCTTATTACAAGAGACGTTTCAAGATCGGATGATTCATATACAAGTCTATACTAGAAGTCACTTCCACCCTGATGCAGAGCGGTCCAGTCATGTTCCAGCCAAGCATGTCCAAGTATCAAACCGCCGTCAAGCCAGGACAACTTGGGCGGAGTGAGGTCCCACGCCACGACAATTTGGGCAGAGTTTGAGTTGTTCACTGTAATTGAGCATACACAGTTGGAATGACGATCCTCTACAAACAGGAAGTTTTCCACTTCCATGATAATTCCAAGATATTCCAAGGAGTGCATTGCCATGCGTATCATTGCACAAATATCATGGTTGCAGAGTACTGAATGCCATGCTGTCTCCAAATCATTGGACCAGCGAAAAGGGTGTATTGAATCGTACATGTTCGCATCCTTTCCCACCCTCGCAGCGCAGAACGTGCCATTTTCAGAATGGCAAGAAGCATAGTGCCATACAGGTGGCAGTGGGTGCTTGTTTGCAGAACCCGAGGGTTTCTTGGAAGCTTGTTTGCAGGTGGACTATGGTGTTGTTCTAAGTTCTAAGTGTTTTTTTGTGTTTTCCTTACTATTTCCTTACTCGGAATTGCTTTACAATCACCTTTCTCGCTCTCAGGCCAACCGTCGTCTAGTTTTGTGTTTTGCTGGCCCACAGCCAAAGCGATACAAAAGGCAGTTGCGTTGCCATTATGTTTCTGCTGCTAGTCGTGGAGTGGTGTCGAAGGACTTCTAGTTTCAAATTGGGGAGCATCCCAGTCAGATGTCATCCTCGAGACCTTTGATCAATTTCCAGGTTGTCAGCCTGACATGGGAGCGAATCGAGATCCTTTGAAAAGGAATGAAGATGCCAAAGACTAGTCACTGGAACTGGAAGTTCACTGCAGACTTTCAGCTGTGACGATATTGAAGCGTACACGTCACACGTCTCTTCAATATTCACCGAATGTGTCTTCCTTGGGGTTGTTTTTTGTTGTTTTTTGTTGTTGTTTTCTGTGTTTTTTCTCCGGACACATCGGATGAGGATAATGCAAGGGGATTTTGAGGACTGCAGAAATTCATTGAGTATTGGAACACTGAAGGGCCGAAGGGCAAGTTGCACATGCATTGTGCTTTGGAATGTCTGTTATTATGTTGCTCGTGGTGTCCTTTTCTGTGTAAGACTGTAAAACCCCGAGATCCTGCCAGTTTTTCTCCCAGAGAACCCCATCAAACAGAGAAACCAAGGTCCACAGCACACCAACATTGTCCGTTTAACAATCCATGAATATAATAGATATGAATAGTATACGGACGTAGGGCCTCACCTGGGAGTGAAGAATTGGAGGCCCATCATGGTCAAGTGGTTAGAGCTCTGCCAGAGTGCCATCGCCATGGCCCAGCCCGCCCATCAGTGCTAATTCACAGAGAGTCACCGGTAGATGAGTTTCGGGGGACGTTTCTGGGGAGCAAAAGGTCGCTCGGTGTGCCGGTCACGTCCGGTCGTTCGGGGTTTCGGTGTGATCACCATCGTTGTGCCTCTCATCCGGTGGCATCATCTGACTCCACCAGGGTCGGGCATCGTTGGGCCGTGGAGTTCCAAACCAACGGACCCTGGTTGACCACGGAGAAATGAACAGAATAGACAACTAAGGAGGTCCAATCTGCAAGGCTCTTGACCCATGGCCATATAAAGTATCCAGACAAATCAAACAAAGTAGATGAAAGTAGGAAGGAGTTGAAGAGCTATCTTTGGGCTCTGGGTTTCGACCCACTGCGAGAGATGTGCACATTGGAATCCACCAACGCCGTCCATCGGCAGCTCTAAGCGGCGGCTCTTCAGACCCCGTTTTCGAAGTCTTGTTTGTCCAGTCTTCACATGTCTTCATCATCATGGTGTTTGCGTCAGCAATGATATGAACCCAACAAGCGAAACCATGGTGGTCTTCTCACTGGTTTCGGCTCGTCGTCTCCGGCGTCTCGTCTCGCCCGCGCCGCGCCTGGATGCCACGGGTCGGAGCCGCGCGGCGCGGGCGCAGGTACTTGCTCAGTGACTACTTGCGACTGCGGCACCACAAGCTGCGGAAGTATCCCTTGCACTACATGGATCCGCCTGGAGACCCTGGAAAGAGGTGAAATGCTTGGGTTCCCAATTAGTGAGACACTTTGTTAAACATGATATATCCAGTGGGCAGCCAAGTGAAGAGAATCAGATCCGGCCACATGAACGTATACCGTATACTCCAAAGCTTTAGGGGGTACTTTGTGTAAACTGAGTCTTTTGGCAGCACGCCTCACTCTCACATTGTCACATAGGGTCGGTGGCAATTGTGGCATACGCCCGACCCTCCGGGACGGTCGCACGCGACGCCAGCGATGTGAGCCGAGGCAGAACCAAAGCCTCTTGAGCTCTTCGGAGTTGCTTGGTGGGAACTTCCGGACGCGAAACGAGTATGGCTTAAGCAAGCAGAGATGGGCCGGTAGAATGACTCGTAATGAGCTAACATGATGAGGTCACGAACTAGTCAATTCTGCAAACTTGAAATGGTTGAACTGGTCGATGCTACATTGGAACTTCTGGTCGAAGTGTTTAGGAAGATGAACGGACATCTACCGTTTCTGATTCATTCAGATTCAAGCTTCTGTTATTTGGGGGTCGACTTCACTGTAAACCTGCCAGTGGTGTGTAAGCCGCCGAAAGAACCGTGGGATCAGTTCAATCCGAACAGGACCTGTTTGGGACCGGCATATGTAACTACATTGACCCCTCAAATCAACCGCAGCAACAAACATCGGTCTGGCTATACCAGTCCCAGACAGGTCGTGTTTGGGAATGGCTCCTGATGTGGTGACGAGTGACATGACCAGATCGGTGCCCAGAAATGCTGGATAAATGTTTGGTGGTTGACATCCTGCAAACGGCAAGGGAAGGTATACTCAACTCCCCGGACTCGGTTTTTAGGATGTTGAGGCATTGAATGGCATTGACCAATATTCTAAACACTTCAAAACCCAGGTGCATGAGGTGTTTTTCGCGAAGGAACCCTATTGAGGTAGCACGACAGAGCCTCGTTCCAGTAAGGAACCCTAGTCCCGACCATTGGTTCCGAAGGTCGAGCATGGATGGCGCATGTGGAAGATGATGTGACATGATTCACACAAAGCATTCGCAAAATCAAGTATTGTAGCATTAAATATCATAAAAAGTCATTAAATGTATAACAATTCAATATAATTAGCCATGTTTGAGGTGGGAAGCCTAAGTGCGCCGTATGCCACGCGAGCACGCAGAGTTTGGGCGCCTTCTTGAACACTTGTTTGCTTCTCAGGCGCATTTGGCTGCGGGAGTTCTGGGACAGCAAGCGTATGTGCGGAACCCGGTGTTTCTTTGAACCCGGTGCATGCTGCATGACGGTCTGGTGAGTCTGATGAGTCTCGAGATGACGGTCTTGTGAGTCTGATACAGTTGGCCAATTAAGGTGTTCTTCTTTGTTTTGACTAGGAGCAAGAAGCTATTATAGTAGTTCCTGGCATACTGGCAACAAGAAGCTACTAGGAACAAAGGGCATCGCTACTAGGAGCAAGAAGCTACTTGAGGCTCTGAGGTTGATGGTGTTTGGTTTTGGGGGGGCATCGAGCGTTTTTCAGCACCGCGGGATTTTTCGTGGTTGGGTCCAGCGGCATTGAAGGGATCCTTTCTCTTTCCGGCTTTCAAGCGACTTTGGCCCTGTTCCTGCTTTGATTGGAGTCGAGTTCAAGACTTTCTTTAAAAGAAAAACTGCTCGAGTTCACAAGTTCATCTGGGTTCATCCCTGTTCTCAGCACCCCTGCTTGAAGGATGTAAGGCGTTAGGAAATGTCAGCTCACTGAACTACACCGTTTTTCATGGGTCCGCTCCATTCACCTCTCCAAATACATCACGCCATATGCCTCAAAGATGATACAACGCAGATGATTAGTAACAATGTAACTGTTTGTCAAAGACACTTGGGGCAGTCAGGAGGGCTATTTGTGAGTCACCCACTGCGTGCTTCTCTCGTCTAGAAGATGTGAGGCCTCAAACAAGAGATTTCACGACGTTGCACCGGCGATCGTTTCTGCATGACCAATGTCCTACTTCGGAAGTATCGCTCCTCAGGTACTTTGAGAACCGCTTCTTGTCGTGCTTGCAGAAAGAGAAGAGACATTTGAACCAGCAGGTGGATGATCAACTGGACAGGGCACCCACCCGCCGTCGTCGCGGACGGTGGATGGTTTGATTCGTTGTCTCGCGGCGTCCGGTCCAGCATGAGTAACGCATGTGTTTGGGTGGTAGAATGAGTAGAAGCAAATATATGATAATATATGCAGTTTTACCATGTAGACACATCCCAAGGGTGAGAAGCAGGTTGTTTACATGGCTTGGACATTTCACTGCTGAGAGTGCCGCAAATATGTTCGCAAGGCTTGAGGGGGAAGGGAACTTTGCCAGGTCAGGTGGTTGTTGCGTTTGGTTTTGGTGCTCTCTCGACGGAAGGCATTCAACACGAGCTACTCCGCCGGACCCTCGGCGCTTGCAGGACATGATCCGGCATCCGCGGTTGGACACCAACGTCTACGCAAGGACCTCGACCATGGCTTGGCCTCGGACGGTTCCGGCCAGTTCCGCTGTGCAAGTCGGCCTGCGGACTGGTGCCGCAAGGTTCTCTTGATCAAATGAGTCCACACACACAGACACGTGCATGCGAACGGTTTAAGGGAGCTAGAACATAGAGCGATATGCTGAGTCTCAGCTTCATGTCCTTCGTTGGTGCCACACGTTGAATGAACATTGATGAGGGGCCAAAAGCAAACTGCCCCCGTAGATCCCTATTCCAGATGTCACAGGGGTTCTGGTAGGTGTGCAGGCTGGGTTCTCATTTATGCGACATACAATATGCAGTATGTATATATATATATATATTATTTATAACGCTATACAGCAGTTGCACAAATTTGCGGCCGTTTCCATGTATAGTATATAATATGCTTTAATATTATATAGTGCATTTATACTATGGCATTATATTGGTGTATACTCTCACACATAATCTAAGCAATGCTATACAGCACCAAGCTCGCTTGGCAGGATCCATGGCGAGCTGGGGCAGATCACACCATCCGACACCCGAAGCTCTCAAGGTGCGAGACGCACCGAGACGCACCGCGAACGGAGCGAACGGAGGTGGTCACACTGTGTGGCTGTACCATCTATACATGTCTATACCCTCTATTCAACGATCATGGAAGTGAAGACTCAAACTCATTGGCTCCTGGAGGAGAATCCAAGTGTTAGAGGATAATAGTCATGTTCCCTAACAGCTTGGTCATCCAAGTGTTAGAGGATAGTCATCCACTTCTTTCGCAGATCAGCCAGGATCACTTGTTTGTTCTCTCCTCAACGCCATGCCAGGCACCACCGAGCCGCTACGCTTGGAGGAAGGCGCCAAAACGTGGCCGTCGTCGGCCACGTCAACGGGTCGGACTCGTTTTCCACCTCCGAGTTCTACGGACGACTCTGGAGAAGCGCAGGAGTTGGGCGGGTTGAGTCCTCCATGGATTGGAGGACCTATAGTGACGATCGTTGCATTCCGTTTCGGAATCGGCTGGCCGAGTCTGTAGAAGTTGGATGGATCATATAGTTCTGTTTTTGAGAAGACTCAAATGGTTTTCATCTTGGAACCAGCAATTCGAGTTGCCACTGATGTGGTGTCAAGTCAATAGTTTTGGCAGACTGCTGGTTGGTGCCAAGAGTCCGTTTTCCAAAAGCAGAACATGATGTTCATCGTTTTCTTTGGGACACACGGAAGAGTTCAGTGCGATTGCTGCGCTGCGCAGAACTGCAGTCTGCAGTGAACCCCGCGCGGCTGCGCGGGCCAGGGCAGACCTACTTGATCCGCTACGCCATAGTGCGACAGTTTCTGCTTGATGCAGAACATGATGGGAAGGTGGCAGATGCCCGAGAAGACGGAGCAAACGGGGTGGAGCCGGGCAAGAGGGACACCCGAAAAAAGACTGGACGGAAGCAAGGTGAAGCTGAAGGGCTTGGTTTAGTGAAGTGGTGTTTACAATTTACATCAATTTACAATGTTCATTTTATATGTG